ACAAAGCAAGTATTCAGGTTCTTGTGTTCCCCCAACCCTCAACACCCCCCCATATGTGAAGCTATTTTAACAGAAATGTTTCAGTACACATCATTGGTGGCAAAGAAGTCTTTGTTTTAAGCTGTAAAGACAAATTTTTTAATTGCTTAAAAAAATTAGAAATTTAATTTACTTTATAATAATTTTGAATTCATTTTCCACCTATCTCCTCCCCAAAATAGAATTCCACCTTCATATTATCTATGCATTTATTTTTAGAAATTAATATTCTCTAGTTTAATGTAATATTAAAATCTGAGAAGTCCATGTATATGCTTTTCTGTTTATAGCTCCAGTTTAATTACTGTGTGTTAAACTGCCTAGACAGCAAAATGAATTTATGAATACCTTTCAAGATAGCCATAGTTTGGAACTGCACATGAGAGAAAATGGCATGGTGCGGACCCTGCATTAAATGATCTTCATGTCAGTATTCTTGAAAACTCACACTATCTATGTATGAAAATGTTAAATATGAGAGCATTATGATGAAGGCTTGTTGTAGTTCTAAAGTGGTGGATATGTAAAATACGAAGATTTTCACATGTACAGTTATAACGCATGCTAAGCAGCACAGATTATTAAGCAAGATTCATTTCTTTATTGGAGAGGGAGGGGAGTAATTTACAGACAAGAGCTAAGCAATTCTGTTTAACACAACTCTGTCTAGTTGATTGTAAGGCATGTGTAGTATTTTTTCAAAGCCCGTCATCAGTGGCAAAGCAATCTACAGCTCAGGATATTTTTTAGAAGATACTCATTTTATTAAGAGTCAATAAGATAGGTTGTGCAGAAAGATATACATGTATTTGCAATTCATATTGTTGCTGTGTTCCTATTGTGTTCTGAGCTTCCATCATGGCTGGGAGATGGGAAGCTGGTATACAGTGCAGGAGGGAAAGAGAGATAGCCCCAAATAAACACTAACAGCATTTCCTAATTATCTCTAATTATAACCTTGTTTCTTGTATTTTTTTCCTGACGTAGGTGGGGGGAGTAGTAGAAAGACGATGATATGAGTGCAGATCATATCTGTGCTATTAAATAATATTAATAATTCTTCTGGTCCAGTGGATGTTTTTATTCTGGACTTTCAAGCACCTCAGTCTACCCATTCAAAGCTATGACAGAAAAATGAATCTGAATGTGTAGGCATTAAACATTTAAATTCTCTACTCCCTGGTCATTATACTGACTGTCATATTTTACACCTTCCCCTCCCCCACTATGCTTTTGCTGATTTGACTTCATTTACATCAGCTCATTATGCATCCGGTCTTTGTTCTACTGAACGAAATACAGTACAGTGACAAAGCAAAACTTACATGTCGGGTGAAATATTTTTCTGATTTAAAAATTAGGTTTCACTACTTAAATTTACATTTAACTTCCCAATATTGTTTAAATTGGAAGCAAATCTTTTCTTAGACAATAACTATAATCTATATGCAATTATTTTTAAAATGGCTAAAATTACCTCAAAATGTCATTAGAAAATGACATTTAAGACCTTTTATAACAAATATTCTGCTGCTACCTAGGCAATATTATCATATTAGAAGTATTGAGTTGTTCTTTCTAAGCCTCTGTCGGAATTTCTATGTAGGCCCAAGGAGCAAGCTTTTATCTATTTTATATGAAGTTTATTGTTTAGAGCTGTCCCTTATGGGTCTTACTTTAATGTATCAAACAACAAAGATAATGTCAATTCTTTTTTTAGAGACTTCTGCTTTGCATTTCTTGCAATTAAAAGGTTTTCTGATTTACAAACCAAATTTTCATCAAATTAAAAGGAAGTCCTAGCTGACCAATCACATGGAAAAATATGAAAGTTACATTGAGCTTTAAATGTCTATCCCCATGGCAGTGCATAATACCTTTTCATTTGTTACAACCAATGGAGACATGGGATTAATCTAATACAGCCTAATTAAACACCCATTCATACATGAGGGTTTTTAATGGTACTAGTGGCACAAATGCTACTTTGTATCACAGTTATATTTGCATTTATTTGCAGTTAGACAATAGATATTTTTAAATATGAAGAAAATGGGGGAAAATAAAATATTGGGGAGGATGCTTCTGAAAATGAAAGCAATTTCTTGTTTCCTGCAAAGATAATTACCATATGTACAATTTTAGGTTCCATGCCAGATATTTTAACCAAGATGCTTTTCCAATTTTTGTTACTTATCAAAATGTATAATCATAGAATGGCTACATGTCTGGGGCACCATCTTGGAAGAAAAAAGCATCATCAAGTCTTCGTGGCTCTGTTAATGACTCACTGTGTGACCTCTGGCTTTCACTTAACCTGCTTACACCTTGATTTTCTTCATCTTTATAAAGGGAATATTTGTCCTTTCTCTATCCTTACTGGGCTATTGTAAAGTTTAATTAGAATAACATATTATTCTGCTCAGCTGGCATAACTCAGTGGTTGAGCATCAACCTATGAACCAGAAGGTCTTGGTTCGATTCCTGGTCAGGGCACATGCCCGGGTTGTGGCTCAATCACTAGTGTGGGGCATGCAGGAATCAACTGATCAATGATTCTCTCTCATCATTGATGTTTCTATCTCTCTCTCCATCTCCCTTCCTCTCTGAAATCAATAAAAATATATATTTTTTTAAAAAAATAATATATTGTTCTTAGGAAGAAAGTATCTTATGAATGCAAGCATTTAATTTTTCCCATCAACTAATTTTTACTATATTGTGAGGAAATGTAGTGTTCTCTATTCATCTATATTCAGTCAATCTCTTTTACTTAAGTTTGGTACTTTGGGTTCTAGAGTTAATAAAAATAAAATACAAATGTTTAATTGGATTTCTTGGAGGTGGGAGCAGTCACCCACATCTTGGCAATTTATATTATATAACCTTGTTATCATCTGCAAGATATTTCGATGAGCATAATTGGTTTTAGAAAATGGCTTTTGCAATCAAAGTAGTCAACACAGTAGCATTCACAATGAGTTCAAGCCTATAGGAGAACTAAAACTTCAGAAGGAATTTTTACTCCAATGGCACCTCAAGGAAAGCTAATTAAATAAGAGTTTTTAAGCCACAGTTGCTTTGAAACTATGTTAATTTTTCTCTTGAGTCCTAGAAATTTTAGATTTTGGAAAATATAACTCTGATGCAGAAATCTGTAAGATGATATCATTTGAGTATTTATCTGGACTTATATAGAAGCTGTCCCAAACTCAATACCATTTCCATAATACTGGATACCATTAACTCTATTTTCATTTTGACAATTAAAATGGTGTTATTTAATTTCTTCCCACTTCATGGAATCATCTGTTAAGTGATGAGGTTGAGCTAAATTATCAATTAGACCCTCCCAAGATCCAAAATTAACCTGACCAGTATTTGGATATATGATTTTTGGACTTTTAGGAAAACAGTATCATGCCCAAGTCTAAATAACATTTTATCAGGTATTTGTCCATTTATTTGGTGGATTGTTTATTAAACACTATATGCCAGCCATGTGTAAATATCTTTTTCGTTTGTTTGTTTGTTTCAATTCAGTTTACTGGGGCATAAAATGTTTAAAACGTAGAAAAATAGCAGGTTTAGAGGCAAAGTTAAAGATTATCTTACTAAACTCTGACCAAGATTAAAGTCTATGAGCACTTAAAGACTTGACACAACAGAGTTTAAAGTGCTTTAAAAAATATTAGTGGGTATAGAGGACAATATTACCGCTCACCAATATCCTGTGTCTGTCCGTACATAAGGGTTATCCCTCCCTGCCTTCATGAAGTCGTGTTAATTGTTTTGGCGAATGACATGTAAGCAGAGGTAATAAGTGTCATTTGCAGGGGGAAGTTAAGAATCAGTCCACATTTTGTATGCTTTCCTTTCCCTTTGCCACAGTTGCCAGCAATGTTCTAAAGAGGTCTGTTCACCAAAATGGGTCCCAGAGTGAGAGCTACAATGACATGGATCAAAATGTCCAACTGATCCACAATGGATATTAGAATGAAAGAGAAGAAAAAGAAAACTTCACAGTTAAGCCTCTAGGATTTGAGGATTGTATATTTTCACAGTATAACTTAGCCCAATGGTTCTAAGAGTATGGTTTTGGGAACCCCTGGGATTCCTGAAGCTCTTTCCAGGGATCCAGGAGGTCAGACTTATTTCATAATAGTATGAAGATGCTTTTTCCCCTTTTTGCCATCATTCCCTCACAAGTGCAAATTAGAGTTTTCCAAAGTCTACACAGTATGTAATATTATAATCAGCTGATGTAAGAATTCAGTGGTTTAAAGAGATTTGAAAAAATGAATAGTGATGACACTCTCCTTACTATTTTATTTTGTTTTGGAAAATTTGGTAATTTTACATAAACTATGTTATGGTAACATATAATTGATTTATTATTGTTATTTTTAAATTACAGTTTTTTCTTTAATTTCTACTATGAAATAGAAACTAGTGGCTATAACCAACTTCAACAAATACTCTTTGGGAGTCCTCAATAATTTTTAAAGTAAAGAGACCAGAGACCAAAAGTTGGGGACTTATCCTATCCCATCCTAACTGATGTAATAGGTTCTACTAGGAGTAATTTGTTAGAACTTAGTAAGACCTGCCATTTGTGAAGCTCTATGGATAGACAAACTATAACTTTAAAAGTATGGTTAGAGTCTATAACATTATTTATTTAACAGAATCGAATGGAACTTTTTCATGCTGTATAACAAAAGAACAGTTCCTGCCTCATGTAACTTCTATAATAATTCATCTAGAAAAATAAACTATCTCTTTGGTTGACAGAGTGGATTTTCCTCTTTATTTTATAGAAGAGAGTAGTAAATGTAATAATGTAATTTTTTTGCAGTAAGTATGAAAATATATAAGCTAGACTATAAATCACCCTACAGATGTATAATTTGTCTAATTGATAGGACAAAGGTAACAAGAAAGGGAATAAAAGAGAGATGAAAACACCGCTTTTGGGTGAAGCGGCAGCGTGTTGTGTTGCTTTGCTTCAATCAGTGGTGTGACAAGGTGTAAAAAAAAATAAGAAAAAAAAAAGAGAGATGAATTGTAAAATGTAAAAGTTTCAAATCATGCTTTTGACAACCATGCAAACACATTTTGACTGACCACTGCAGACCATACTCAAGCAGAAAACAATTTCAATTAAAAATATTTGAGCCCATTATATCTTTCAAACTAGCAGAATTTTTATGTCAATTTGCTCTCACTGGCATGTTGGTCCATAAACGTGGTTTTCCTTGTTCTGAGGGTTGATGTGCATTCCTTTAACTGGATTATAAGCTCCTAAAGGGTAGTAATGATGTCTTTTCTTGAATTTACTTCCATCCTCACCCAGTGACTGCCTAGCATGTCATGGGAGGCTGGGATTCCATAAATGCCAGCAGGTTAAATAAAACAAGGTAAGATCTCTAATTTGGGGGGAGGATGACAACTACTTTCTAATAATTTAAATATGCATATCATTAAAATTAATATTTTATGAAATAATAGAGGGTTATTTGAGATAATAAGAAGATCAAATCCAGCATTGATGTCCTATGAAGAAATATTCCTGCTATCCAGCATAATTCCTGGATAGGTTATGCTCTGTTCCTACTTCAGTACAGTGGCATTTTCATTGTTATATATTCCCCTTTCTTATATGATTGAGTTGTAGAAATTCCTAAAGGAGTTTATCTTAAAACACAAAATATTTCTTGATAAATATCAATTCACTGGATTTTTCTACAAACCCAGTTAACCAATAAAAAAAAAGTTTTGAGTGTGTTTATGAATACAATGTGTAGGAATTCCTAGTTTATATACATTGTCTATGCTATCTACATTATCTCATCTGACCTTCTCAAATCTTGTGAAATAATTTATGTCTACTCCCATTTTATAAATAAGAAAATAAGAGCTCAGTTAGGTTAAGATATTTGTTCAAGAACATATGTCTAGTATGTACTGGAGAGAGAATTAAAATTCAAAATCAACTCCAAAGCCATATGGCCTTTTAAACTGTTAATATAGGAACATAACAGCAAAGTTTATTTTTATTATCATAGCAAAGAAAAAGTATTGTTTCTTTCAAGAGATTTCTAAATTGTATTATACAGAAAAACTAATTGTTTTTTCACAACATGAATGAATAAAGGCATAGGTGAATATTTTTAGAGTAAATATAGGCAAGTGGAATTTTTGCATACATTCTTGAGAAAAATTACTTTTTCTGAAGTTAAAAATGTTTATTTTTTTTATTGGATTCTTTATTATGTCATTAATTTAATTTTCTTTATTAAAAAGTATTCTATTTATAAATTTGAACCAAATATAAATGTTAATAACTCAAATAGACTGACTAGAAAAATAACCTAGAGATAGTTATATTTCAAATTTTTATAAAGGGGTGTTAGAGTAGCACTTATCTCAAGATTTCTATTAGGCTGGCTCTTGGTGACAGTTAACATAATAGTTAATCTGTTTATCTTTTTAGCAGGTATTACCATAAAAATAACTTAATGGGCCTTTCATTCAGATTTTCTGGTGAATTCTTTTAAAAAGTTTTGTGTGTCATTATAATTCTCTAAGAAATCAGTTAAACCCCATACCCAAAATCAAGAACAGAGAGTCATTTAAAGTTAGAAGCAAACATTAGGCTCTATATCATGATTAATAAAAGCAATGGAATAGAAAATTGTTTTTTATTTGGTTTCTAATAGCAGTAATTATGAAGCATAAGTTCCCATCCTTTTTTATCTGCAAAGATATAAAAAAAAATGGAAAGCCCCAAACTCTCCAGATGAGGGAGAGGCCATTCCAGAAGGCTTGAGTAGTATTGGAAGACAAGTGTAGGCAGGAGAGTTGGATGCAACAGTTAGAATGGATTGCTATTACTCTTTCGTTCCTTGTGGAAGTTTGAAATTCTAACTCAGGACATTATAGAAGTTTTCAGTGATTTTCAGGTTATTCTAACTCTTAACTGGCAGGAATATGCAAACCAAAGAAACCTACCAGTCCAGATGTTATTTTCTTAATATCTCAAAATTCATAGCATAACACCTCCTCAATATGACTTCTTCCTTTCCTCCCAAGAAGCAACATTTTCCCATGGCATTCCCATTGGTTAGATTGGTTGTTCTCAGCTCTTTCCAAATGGAAGTCCCTTAAGCTTTTGCAAACTCTCACATCCTCAAAGTTATCTTCTTTGTTTGAGGTGGCCTCTACAACTTCAACATTTATATGTATATGAAAATAACCTACTAGACACTTAATATTTATATGTTTATCATTCCTGCTCCCTCCCCCAGATTATAGGTTCCATGAAGACAAGGACCTTGTTTATTCAACATATGCTCAACATTTGTTGAATGAATTCAACAGATGACAGCTAATAAACTCAATAGTCTATAATGTGTAATCTACAGTGATATTAGATATAAATGAACATAGGGGGTGATGAGTAAGCTATTCACTGATTTTAGGAAACCTATTTGTTATTCATAGGGTAAATGGATTCCTTTGGTGGTGTTGTGAATCTCAGAATTCTCAAAGCTCCCTTACACAGCTTTAGTGAAACTTAAGGGTCTATTTTACACAATGCTTCTATCTGCAGGCAAGAGTAAGTACAGTGAACTTGCATCCAGACTCTTTTGATTCAAATCTCAGTTTTGGCACTTACTAACTATATAAGCTTGGAACTATAAGTATCATTCAATTTCAAAAATTGTGAGGCTTAAAGGATATGTAAAGAACATAATACAATGCTACACATTGTAAGCACTCAATAATTGTTATTTATTTTTATTATCATAACATTTCTAATTGATCTTAAGGACTGAGGATTTGGGCCTCTAATTTAAAATATGTATGTTAATTAACATAAAATGAAAGAATGGCTGAAGAAGAATTAAGTAGTTTTGGAACTCAATTGAGAAGAAATGTTTTCCATTACTAGGAAGGAATTGGAACTGTTGGAGACTACAATATAGAAATCTATAATTGAGAGTAAGCTAAGTAGAGATTTTAAACACTAGTTTTTAATCAGACAACTCAATCCCAGAAAAAAAACAACCTTGGCGTATCAGGATGACACTCCAACCAACTGAAATACTCAGTCTCTAAATAGCAGCAATCTCAAGTGGTCAGTTAGCCTTTCCTGCACCATCTAGATTTCCTAAGTAGCATTCGGAACCCAGTTCCCAGCTTTTCCTGTCAAGAAAAGGATGTGAATACTCTGTGCCTTCTAACTGCAGGGAATTTATTTCTAAGCTTTCCAAGTAATTCCCGTGAAGCATGCCTCACTAGGCTGTGATTAGAAAGTACCCCCTCCCAAAGGCAACTTCTTCAATTACATATACTTGGGAGTTGGGGGGAGTTGATATCTGGTATTTTGATATCTATTCTATCTGCTTCTCACCCAACACTGTGGCAAGCAAAGTCTGCATATTAGCTCCCTATTGTTGCTGTAACAAATTGCCATAAACTTAGAGGTTTAAAAATTTTATTCTTTTACAGTTGTGAAAGTCACAAATCTAAAATTAAGGTGTTGGGAGAGGAGAAACCAAGATGGCGACATAGGTAAACACCAGAAATTGCTGCCTCCCACAACAACTTCAAAAATTCAACGAAAAGACAAAACAGACTTCATCCAGAACTATAGGAAGGCTGGCTGAGTGGAAATTCTACAACTAGAAGGAAAGAGAAAAGCACACTGAGACTCAGAGGAGCTGCGAAAGTAAAGTGCAGAGGTACGAAGGCTCGAGCGCGCGGGGAAAGGGGCTGGTACCTGAGGACACGGTTGTCTTTTTGAATCCGGAGGGAGTCACAAGCTCCCAACTGCTCTGAACTCCAGTTCCGGGAAGTCTCTGGGGACCCAGGGCTCATACGAGGAGAAACTGGACTGTCTGGCAGCAGGCAGAACTCGGAACTTGAGGGCGGCTTTCCCTCAGAGGTGCTGGCAGCAATTACCGGGACACTGAGACGCGCGGCCCCTTAGGGCAAGGCCTGGGAATCAGCCATAGCTGCTTGCTCCGCCCTGTTGATTCCGAGACCCCGCCCCATCCAGGCTGCTGCAAAGCCTTTTGCATATGAATGCCCGGGTCCTTTACAATCTGACAACTACCTAACAAATTGCAGCTGGGCCAGTCAGACTCAGAACTTCCAAGAGAAGGCCCAAGGCCCCACAGCAGCTTGCATTGCTTCTCAGCTGGGCCTCATCTGGGCACCCCCAAACCCCCAAAAAAGGAAGGGGAATCTGCATATCTCTTCATAGCTCCTGCTGGGTAACCTCAGGAAGAGGCTTAATTAGCACCTCCTTAGATCCAAGAGCCAGTGTACCCAGTGGTCAGAGTGGGACCACCCAGATTACAACTCCTCAGATTCATAAGGAACACACTCAGGGGGCAGACTCAGTGAGCACCAAAGCCCCACTGAAGCAAGTCTTGCCCCAGAAGGGTGTCTTCAGCACAGAAGTTCTCCCACTGCAGACACAGCTGATTCTCACTGCCAATTGGCCTGGAGGTCAATTCCTCCCAGTGACACCTAAAACAATCAAGGCATAACTACAACAAGACTGTGCACAAAGCCCACAAGGGGGTGCACCAAGAGTGTCCACCTCAGGTAACTGGGGAGGCTGAGCCACTGGGCCCTGTAGGACACCTAGCACACAAAACCACTCTACCAACACAGGGAAGCAGACAAAATGCGAAGACAAAGAAACAGGTCACAAATGACAGAAATGGAGGACAGCAAACGACTGGATATAGAGTTCAAAACCACGGTTCTAAGATTTTTCAAGAATTTTATGGAAACCGCCGATAAATGTATTGAGATCCTTAAGAAATCTAGTGAGACCCTCGATGTTGTGATAAAGGACCAACTAGAAATTAAGCATACACGGACTGAAATAAAGAATATTATACCCAATAGCAGACCAGAGGAGCGCAAGAATCAAGTCAAAGATTTGAAATACGAAGAAGCAAAAAACACCCAACCGGAAAAGCAAAATGAAAAAAGAATCCAAAAATACGAAGATAGTGTAAGGAGCCTCTGGGACAACTTCAAGCGTACCAACATCAGAATTATAGGGGTACCAGAAGAAGAGAGAGGGCAAGATATTGAAAACCTATTTGAAGAAATAATGACAGAAAACTTCCCCTACCTGGTGAAAGAAATAGACTTCCAAGTCCAGGAAGCGCAGAGAACCCCAAACAAAAGGAATCCAAAGAGGACCACACCAAGACACATCATAATTAAAATGCCAAGAGCAAAAGACAAAGAGAGAATCTTAAAAGCAGCAAGAGAAAAAAAGTCAGTTACCTATAAGGGAGTACCCATACGACTGTCAGCTGATTTCTCAACAGAAACTTTGCAGGCCAGAAGGGAGTGGCAAGAAATATTCAAAGTGATGAATAGCAAGAACCTACAACCAAGATTACTTTATCCAGCAAAGCTATCATTCAGAATTGAAGGTCAGATAAAGAGCTTCACAGATAAGAAAAAGCTAAAGGAGTTCATCACCACCAAACCAGCATTATATGAAATGCTGAAAGGTATTCTTTAAGAAGAGGAAGAAGAAAAAGGAACTCTTACCATTTGCCACACCATGGATGGAACTAGAGAGCATTATGCTAAGTGAAATAAGCCAGTCAGAGAAGGATAAATACCACATGATCTCACTCATTTGTGGAATATAATGAATATCATAAATTGATGAACAAGGACTGATCCAGAGACGGAGAGGCATTGATTGGACTGTCGGGCCTTGGAGGGAAGGTAGGGGAGGGCAGGGTTAAGGGGGAAAGATCAACCAAAGGACTTACATGCAAGCATACAGGTCTAACCAATGGACACCGACAACGGGGGGGTGAGGGCATGAGCGGAGGGGGGGGTAGGGGTAACGTGGGGATAAGGACACATGTAATATCATAATCAATAAAAAATATATTTAAAAAATAAAATAAAATTAAAGTGTTGGCAAGGATGTTTTCCTTCTGGAGGCTTTAGAGGAGAATTCATCTTGTTACCTTTTTCTACATTCCTTAGCTTGAGATCCCTTCCCCCATCCCTCCAACCTCTTGTTTCCATTGTCACATCTACTACTGACTCTGATTCTCCACTGTTCCCTAAAAGACCCTTGTGATTACATTGGGCCCAATAGGTAATGCAAGATAATTTCAAAGTCATTAATTTAATCATAGCTGCAAAGTCCTTTTTATCATATAAAGTAATGTACTCACAGAGTTCCAGGGATTGGGACATGAACATCTTTGGGATGGTAGGGGGGCTTTATCTAGCCTACTAACTGTTCCATGCTAACATTCTATTATCTATGTTTTGGTTTTATTTCAAAATGTTTAATATGATTATGAATAATCTGTCACTGAATTTTATTGATTCTACTCTGTTAAATGGCTTGGCCTTCTTCCTGCCACTGCCTTAGTTCAATATTTTATCATTTTTTTTCCCTGGGCTACATTAAAGGTGAACTCTTTTGGTATCTTACCTCCTGGTCCATCTCCTTTGCTCTCCCCTGGTTATTGGAGTGAGTTTACCAATATATATATATATACACACACACATATACACATACACACACACACACACACACACACACACTATTTGTACTCGCCTATGAAAATAAAATGTAACCCTATGGCCTTCAGACTAAGTTGTAAATCCAATTATGTTTGGTCCCTGGCTTCCTCTCTCCTGCCTCATCCAATACCAGCTCCCCAAATGTACTCTCACATGCAGGTACATAAACTTCAGAAACTTTCCTGAATGGGCCACATTTTTTAAATTCTCTTCCTACACTTTTTGCCTCTGCCTGGAAGACCCATCCCCTTCCTCCACCTAACTTACTCCATGTGTCCCCCAAGACTCAGTTCATACTTTGTATCTTCTCATATGTCTTACCTGACCACATTCTCATGCCTTTCACTTCTCTTTACAGACTTCTTCAGGATGCTGAAAAATCTTCAATTGCAGCATTCATGACACTGTATTATAAGTGTTGTTTTCCTTGTCTGTCATTGTCAATTGCCTGTGAATTTCTTCAGGGTGTTGACAATGTCATCTATTTCTATGTCTTGGCAGAAAGACTGGCACATATTTATCCCTCAATAAAGTATTTTTTGGCTGAATGAATATACAATGACATGCTTTGGCCAATTGCCTTGTTATATGTTTATCACCATCCACTGTTTAAATCTATCAAGAGAGTGGACAAACTTGTGCACATGTGTGCACATACTAGTATATATATATACACACGCATGCACATTAGCCCTTTTCACTATCCTTATCACTGTGTTGACAGAAATCAATTAGCAAAACACTATGCAAAACAAGTACACAACATATCCTATATAATAAAGAGGCAATATGCAAATTGATCCTCACTCCATCACGCCATCACAAGATGGCTACACCCACAGTGGAGGCGGGGTTCCTGTAACACAAGATGGCTTCATTCAGAGCGGAGGCGGGGTTCCCGGAACGAGCTGTAAGGAGCGATCAGCAGGGACTTGAGGCTGCGTAGCACCAGGTCAGGCGGGGGAGCTGAGGCTGTGCCCCTCCCCTGCCAGGTGGGGCTTGACAGGGGACCTCAGGCCGTGCCCCCCACCTGGCAGGGCTTAAAGGGGAACCTCAAGCCACACCCCCTGCCTGGGGTGGGGAACCTGAGGGTGCACTAGAGGACCTGAGGCTGCGCCCCCTGCCCGGCACCAGGCCGGAAGACCTTAGGCTGTGCCACCCGCCCAGCAGGGTTTGACAGGGGACCTGAGGCTGCGCCCCCCACCCGGCAGGGCTTGATGGGGGTGGGGCCGGCCAGGTCTGGATCTTGCCCAGTGGGGGTAGGGCTAGCCACGTCTGGGTTTTGAGTGATTTCAAGGTGCACGTGGGTAGGCAGGGACTTGACTCTGTGTCCCGCGGCGTGCCCCAGACTCTGACAGGAGGAAGATTTTCATATACATTTTACTAATTTTCTTTCATCTCTGACATTTCTATTATAGAGAAAGGGCAAATAGCAATATTAAAATATTTTCTCTAATTAATTTCCTTTTAATGTGCACGAATTTCGTGCACCGGGCCACTAGTACTCACATAAAAACAGACTGAACCTTTATCAAGAAACAAATGTAGAAAATTAAAAAAGAATTGGAGATGTGAGGAAAAAGTTTTCCCAATGTTTCTTCAAATGTATTTCTTTAAAGCATAAGAATGTTAACCTGATCATCTTCATTTCACATAAGTATAGCATGTGTTTGCTTCACAAGTTTTTAAATCATCTCTCCATTTGATCTTCATGACTTTATAATACAATCAGGCTAGTATGTGTTGCCCAATTTCAGAGATCCAAAAATAGAATCTTAAGGGGGGGGGGGGGGGGTTGAATTCTTGAGAGAAATTCATAAAAAGTTGGTGTTATAAAATGGAAAGTAGAATAGTGAACTCACTTGAGGAGTCTGTGAAAATATTGATTCCTAATCCTCATGCCTAACCTATTGAATTAGACTGTTGGGTATCAAGAAGGTTGCTTCTAACACCTGTAGCTTTTAAAAAAGCTCACCAGATGTTTCTAATAGCAGCCAGAGTTGAGAAGCACTAGATTAGAACTCAGGTATTGTGACTTCAGTTCAATGGTTTTTACACTGCATAATACTAAATCAAAATAGGTGGTGTGTATTATTATGCAACTGATTTGAATTAGGTTATTTTTGTTAATCCTTGTGCGAGGATATGATTTTATTGATTTTTAGAGATAGAGGAAAGGAGAGGGGGAGGAAGGGAGGGAGGGAGAGAGAGAGAGAGAGAGAGAGAGAGAGAGAGAGAGAGAGAGAGAGAATCACTTGCCTTCCGTGCGAGCCTGGACCAGCCAGCCAGGGCTGGCACTAGATTATTTTTGCTGTTGCTTTAAGGGGAGTGAAGGTGAAGGTTTTCATTTGGTATTACTGACTAAATTAATATTTTCTGATGGTTTTTAAGGAGAGTGTAGGATTGCCAACATTAAAAATATCATTCAAGACTGAGGTTCTAAGCATGTATTTTCCTGGCACCTTGCTCACTAATAATAAGGTTGACTATGGAAGAGAAGGGGCTGAGGTGGAAGGATGAAGAGGCAGGCATGGTACCTGGCAACCAATGTGTTCCGTGTCTCTTAGATAACACAACAGAGTGTTTCCTTACAAAATCCAACCCAAATGCTGCCGCTCAAGGATTTAAGGAAAGTTCTAAACCCCTTTTAACTCTCTGACTTCTCATATGCCCAGGGGCGTACTGACAGTGGCTTAATTGTCCACTGAAAATGTTAGATCCTGGACACTGAACGCGTCTCCATGTCACTGTCACACAAAACTGATTGGTAGGAAATGCACACCCCACAAGGACATTCTGAGGGATAAACATGGTTACACAGCTCTTGGAAATACAAATAGCTCTCATAAAAAATGTTACCACGCACATGCTTTCTGCCAAGGTAAACTGTCATTTACACTTTTACCCTAGGCATAATTGTTAGTTTTTATCCTTTTTTCTGTTCACACCCATCTATTCCTCCCTTGGGCCTCAAAGCCACAAGAGTTTTCACAAAAATAATCTTTAAAACATACCTTTACCCTCTTATTGACCCCTTAAACTTGCTCTTTATCACTCCAGGGCATTTTAAATTGTTCTAAATTTGTTTTAGAGGCTGTGGGTGTATTCTCTCCTCCGTAGGTATTCATAACTCCCATTCACTTCCATGGGAATCAAATACGCACATATCAAAGTGAAGCCAGGCCCTCATAGGTTCAAATATATTTATCATAAAATAAAAAGAACTAAAATCTAGAGGAAAGTGTATTAAAAAATGAGACCATGTTGTGCTTAATTAAAGAAATTTACATTTATGGATAACTGAAATGGCACACCAGCCCCCTGGCACTATTTCCAATATGTCCTTGGTCTCAGGCTATTTACTGTAAAGTGTTCGCATTATAAAATGAAATGTGTGAGTAACTGTCTCACAAACTATGTTGGCCCCATGTGTCTTGGCTCTGTGTTATAAATACAGAAGAGAAGAGGCATTGTTTTGACCAATATTAAGTCACCTGTGAGTAAAATTTGATTTTATCTATTTATTGTCAGATTTTAAAATTATGTCATAAACACTTGCAAATTTTGCATTTATAAGTCTGCCTACATGTCTGGCCATGAAAATTGAGTAATGGAGTTCCAAGCAGTCAATTTTTTCTTATAAACCCAGATCTGTGCAATGCATACCCTCTCTCTGAACATTACTAGGAGGCAAATACAAACTTTACATACATATTTTGGTGCTCCTTTGAAATGTTTGCTTTGAAATACGGCTATATCACACATGCAAATAAACACACTAATTCATCCATGCGTTTAATGATATCAAGTCAACTCTAAACCCCACAGCAGTAAGAAGTGCAATATTAAAATTCATTTCCATTTTAAAAATAAACATTGTGCATTTCTCAGATAAAATGTGAGAAAATATGAAGCTCGGTGAGTTTCAAACAGTTTAAAATAAATGAATCTTTACTGAAATATATGGTCATTCTGAGGAGATTTGGTAAGTTACTTCTTCCATTGCACTAAGGTAATATTTAGTCATTTGTTAAGTAAATAATACTTTATTAAGTAACACTCTTATGAAGGGAAAGCATCTATTGCTGCTTTCAGAAGTAACCAAGGAACATCTAGGAAGTCAATAAATTGGGAGACTATTTTTTTCTTATATACATAATTACAATGGAATTAAATTTGAAATAAGTATTGTAAAATTAATAAGTATGATTACATACAAATGTTTGAGAAATATTCTATTTTAAACACAATATGATTTTTCACCCGTAAGCCTATTTGAATGGAACAGCAGAAGGCTGTTTGAAATTTTCTGCCTCACCAAGAGCATACAATGGAGTCAAGACAGTCTCTTCAATAAATGGTGCGGGGAAATTTGGTCAGATACATGCAAAAAAATGAAACTAGATCACCAACTTACACCATACACAAAAACAAACTCAAAATGGCTAACGGACTTAAATATAAGACGGGAAACCATAAAAATTCTACAAGACTCCAGAGGCAGCAAAATAGCAGACATATGTTGTAGCAATAACTTTACAGATACAGCTCCTAGGGCAATGGAGACTAAAGAGAAAATAAACAAATAGGACTACATCAAAATAAAAAGCTTCTGCACAGCAAAAGAATCCATCAACAAAACAACAAGAAAACCCACTGCATGGGAGAACATATTTGCCAATGATATTTCCCATAAGGGTTTAATCTCCAAAATTTACAGAGAACTCATACAACTTAACAAAAGGAAGATAAATGATCCAATCAAAAAATGGGCAAAGGATCTAAATAGACACTTTTCTAAAGAGGACATACAGAAGGCCAAGAGACATGAAAACATGCTCAAAGTTACTAATCATCTGAGAGATGCAAATCAAAACAACAATGCAGTACCATCTTACACCTGTCAGAATGGCTATCATCAACAAATCAACAAACGACAAGTGCTGGCGAGGATGTGGAGAAAAAGGAACCCTCCTGCACTGCTGGGGGGAATGCAGACTGGTGCAGCCATTGTGGAGAACAGTATGGAGTTTCCTCAAAAAGTTAAAAATGGAACTCCCATTTGACCCAGTGATCCCACTTCTAGGACTATATCCCAAGACACCAGAAACACCAATCAGAAAGGATATATGCACCCCTATGTTCATAGCAACAAAATTTACCATAGCTAAGATTTGGAATCAGCCTAAGTCAGCAGATGAGTGGATTAAAAAACTGTAGTACATCTATACAATGGAATACTACGCCGCTATAAAAAAGAAGGAACTTTTACCATTTGAAACAGCATCGATGGAACTGGAGAGCATTATGCTAAGCAAAATAAGCCAGTCAGAGAAAGATAAATATCACATGATCTCACTCATATGTGGGATATAATGATCAACATAATTTGGTGAACAAGAATAGATCCAGAGACAAATGGTAGGGGAGGGAAGGTTAGAGAGCAACCAAAGGACTTATATGCATGCATATTAGCATAACCAATGGACACAGACACTGGGGCAGTGGGGGCTTGCCCGGAGTGGGAATACGGGGGGGCGGGGGGGGGGGAAAGGGAGTCAATTGGGGAAAAAGGGGACATATGTAAAACTTTAGACAATAAAAAAATTAATAAATAAATAAAAAGAAATTTTCTGCCTCAGATCCTTCTGAGGAATAGTTTCTGCCCACCT